GTGGACGACAGGGAGTTCACCGAGGAGTTCGAGCGCTTCAGGAGGGGCATTGATTACACGTACCACAACAACTACACCTTGGAGAGGCAGCGTTGGCAAGACGAGGTGATCAAGAGTACGATTGTGCGCTCGCCCGGGCCTCGGTATGCCTCGGCAGTGGATGCCATAGTTGTGCCATCCGAGTCAAACAGCACGGAATTGGGGGAGTTACCAGGGCGAGGGGGTCCAACCATGCGAACCGACCTTCAGTCGCACGCGTGTTCGCTGACTCTTGGTGTGCAAGCGTCGTCGCCTTCCAGTCAAGATGCAGACGTAAGAGCCGTCTTGCGCCCAGGACGGACTCTTGTTACCGGCTGTTTATCAGATCTGGGTCGGGGAGCCTCTGATTGGCCGAGGCTCGCCGTGGCCAGGGAGCGTCTTCGTTCCTGACTCAGCCTTCTCTCTGGTGCGTAACAGGATGGCGGGGTGGGGGAGGGCGCCAGGTGGCCAGGGGCCTGGCGGGCTGGCCTTGCAGGTGGTTGCAGAGCCCGTCGCCGCGAAAGCGACGGGGGACGACGGAATCTGCTGCGTGCAGCCGGTTTCGGCCATGCCGCCGGGCGTTTTCCTCGGTACGTGGGCGTCTGCGCGAGCTGATTCGCTACCCACCCTGTAGTGTTCCCCCATCTTCGTCCGACCCAGCCCAACGTGAGTGCTGGCTCTAGGTCGAGCAGACACGCGCTGCTGGCCCCCCTGAAGGATTTAGGCATCCTTTTCGCTTTTATTTGAGCCAGCGAGGGCTGTAGAAGCTTATTCACACACAGAGCCGCGCCTGGACGGCGCATCGCCTGGACGGCGCATCGGCTGTAGAAGCTGATTGCCTCCCCCCAAAGATAAGAGTCGAGACACTGTTCGAGCCCGCATGGTGATCGTCCTGTGATCAGGTACAACGTTAGGCGGTATAGGCTCAGGAGGCGATGCATCGAGCCCCCAATCGCCCATTGATCGCCGATAGTGGCCTGATAGCCGTCCCCGCCCAGGAAGGTGAGGATCCGCTCTCGGGGGCATCTCACCGATGTCATCGGCCACGTATCGCTGATTCCAGCTCGATGTTCCACCCCCCCTTGAGCTTGTCCCCCCTAAGGATAAGTCGGGCCTGTCCCTCTACAGGGGGAATATTTAAACATAGTCCAATAATAGTCCAGGGACGATTTGTTTGACTATTTTTGCTCACTTGGGGGGTATGGTTTGATTATGCTTTGCATTTTTCGCCCAAGATCCCCCCTGTGGGGGGACACGCCCGACTGAACCCTAAGGTTTCCCCTAGTGCGGCGAGTGCGCGTGTGGTTTCGGGGCGCCCTCCAGTCTTCCTCCTCGTCCTCCTCCTCCTCCTCCTCCTCGTCCTCCTCCTCCTCCTCGTCCTCCTCCTCGTCGTCCTCCTCCTCCTCCTCCTCCTCCTCCTCCTCCTCCTCCTCTCCCCGTTCGCGGGGAGGTCCGAGCAGCCGGCGCCCTGGCTCGTGTTCACCTGCGGCCCCATGGGCGTCGGCAAGGGCTACTGCATGAACTGGATGTCCAAGCACGGCGGGGCGGCGGGGTTCGAAGGGTAGGCCACTGCACTGCCCTTTCCTGGTCTCGCTCGGACGTGTGCGCTTTTTGTCGACGGGGATTCTTCAGGAGCGTCCCAGAGCATCCTGCGAAACAGCCGCGCGCGAAAGCGAAAAAATGCACAGGGAATGGACGTCCGAGCGACGGGGAGTTTTGCCAGCGCGAAGAAGCCCCGTGGCTCGGAGGGGGGAGAGGGGGAGGGAGGGAGGGGGGGGGAAGCAGCAGCAGCTGAGTCAATCGGCCTGGCCAGCGACGAGAGCCGCCGGCGGCGCGCGGCGGCGCGTGGCAGGGGTAAGCCACAGAGTATTTGCGGTCGCTTGCGAGCCCCAGCCCCGCGGGTTTGGTGGACGGTGGGGTACCGGACACCGCCGTTGGGGGGCATCTGGTTGCAGACATCCTTGGGGTTCTGAGCCCCAGCCGGCGTTTCAGAAAACCTGACCTGCAGGGGTTGGGTTCGCATGTGGATGCCGATGCACAGCTGAAAATGAATTTTCAGAGTGCTGCGCGGATCGAGGACGCCGGCGGCGCATCGCCGGCCGCTCCCTGGGAGTCTGCCGAAGTGGTGCGCAGCATCGAAAGTCGTGACGCGGCGCGTATGCCACCGTGCTTGGGTTTTGGGTCGGAGTCCTCCTGGACGCTTCGTGGGGTCTTTCGAAAGAGCTCTCGGGGGCCTCTGCGGGGGAGTTTCGGGGCCTCTCGGGGGCCTCCTGGGGGCTTCTTGGGAGCCTCTTGGGGCCCTCTTGGGACCGAAAGCTCGAAATGTTCACGCGGGTTCCCCTTCTAGGCGCCCTCTTGGGGCCGTCCTGGTGCCCCTCTTGGGCCGTCTCGGGGGCCTCTTGGGCCGTCTTGGGGCCCTCTTGGGCTGTCTTGGAGCCCTCTTGGGGGTTTGTTGGACCGTCTTGGGGCCATCTCGGGCGCCTCTTGGGCCGTTTTGGAGCGTCGGTACGCCGAAATGGCGAGAACGCGAAAATCCTTCAACAACGATTGAAAAATCAATGATTTTTGCCTCTTGGGGCTCTCTTGGGGGTGCTCTTGGAGGCCTCTTGGGGTGTCTCGGACGCGTCTTGGGCCGTCTGGAGGCCATCTTGGGCGTCTTGGAACGACCTGGAACCGTCTCGAGGCTCTCTTGTCTTGCGCCGTCTTGGGGCGCTCCTGGGTCGTCACCGGGCTGTTCCGGACCTTGAACGGGGGGGGGGGGCCGGCGGCAGAGCGGGGCCCCCTCGGAGGGATTTTCAGGGAGGTTTTTGACCAGGCATTGGCGAATGGGGCTAAAGACTGTGCCAAACACTCTGTCAGAGAGGTCTCGCACGGCCCAACCCGCAGGGCGGGAGCGGCCGGATTTCTTGTGAATCGGCCTCTGGCGCCGCCCCCTGGCTCGTTTCTCCCCGATGTTGCCCTTGGCGGGCGCCCTCGAGGAAGATGTGGAGGACGAGGAGGCGGTGACGCAAGCATGTGGTGCATCTCACGGCGGCGGCGCCAAAGGCTGACCAGTGCTATGAAGACAGGGTCCCGAGAAGGAATCGACCCTGGTGCGCGTGCGGGCCCTCATTCGTGTGGGTGCTCCTGGCCTCGTTCGGTGCCCAGGCGCCAGGTCGGTCTGGTGAGGCAGGCCCCTCCGTCTCCTCACGCAGGGCTTCCTTGCTGGAAGCTTTGTGAACAGGCTCTGGGGTGCCACGGGCAGCAGGTACCTGGCAGCAGTCGTGTTGGCAGCTGCGGAGGCAGCTTCATCCCTTGCCACGAAGGAGGAGGGGAGGAACGAGGCGAGGAAGAAGTGGGACAAGGGGGGTGCCCAGCGTGCCCACGCACTTGAGATGGTTGTTCGTCAACTCATTGATTCAAGCAAGCGGTGCGGCAAAACACCCTTTCGCTTCCTCAGCGAAAGCTCTGCACTGTCGAAGACTTTGGCTCGATCTGAAGGCGAAGAGGCGTCAGCAGTGTTGGGGAACGACCGAGAGTTTTAAGACTGGGGAGGGCGGTAGGCTTCTTCCCGCTCGAGAATATCGTGCACGTTGACCCTGATGCCTTCAAAATGATGATGCCTGAGTGGCCGAAGTACGTGAAGAAGAGTGGGGAGGAGCCCGCCAGCCGCGTCCGCATCCTGCAGCATAGCACCTGGCTGGCTGTTGTTGAGGTGTCCCCCCTTGAGTAATCGATGGGTGCGCTGTTCTCTCTCTCTCTCTCTATCACTCGGCAGATGGCACATCATCTTCCAAACCAGTGCGCGCTTCTTATTTGGGTGGGCACCCCATCCAGGCAAGCCACAGGCACCCAACAGTTATGCGGATAGCATCATCTAGTCTAGCGGAGCGAGAAGACGGCTTGGATTCCGCCCATGCGCGGCCAGGCCTTCCCGAAGAAGAAGTCGTGCCCAAGGGGGGGGGGGGGGGGGGGCAATTCGCTAGGTCGGGCCGTTGGAGCCTGGTTCAGTGCTTGACATCACCCCGATGTTTTCATGAGCCACCGTGATCGTTCCAATTGGGTATATCTTAATTCTTGACGCTTCCTGCACCCCCACCAGCCTAGCCAGAAACCAAGGTCGCCCCAAAGGGCGCCAAGATACTCGCGCTTCGCGCATCTTGGCCAGGGCCAGAGTCGCTGCCCTTGTCCTGGGCGGCGGCGCAAGGGCGCGAAGCTGACCGTGTGTCACTCACCGAGGGGTGCGATGCGCGAAGATGGGTGGCTTAGAGAACGATCCCCAGGTGCATTGCCCAGACCAGGGAGGTTCAGCAGCTTGAAGTGGAATAGAGAGGTTGGAAGTAGGGCTTGGTTGGTGGGTTTTGTGCGCGTGTTGACATTATCCGTATTTGCGGCCGTTGGAACTTTGCTGCGATCACAGCGGCGCCCGAGGCTCACTGTCCACACACAGTGCTGGTAGGTAGCTCCTGTCAAGCACGGCACACATACGAGCCAGGTTGAAAAGGCATCAGCGGACAGTTGAGAAGAGGCGGGCACAGCCGTCACACCGAAGTTCGGTCGCGGCTCTGGGAGAGCAGGGCCCGCCGTTTTGGCCGGAGTTGCGGTCGGGGGTGCAGCAGCGGCGGTGGGCAAGTCTCGGCCCACGATGGTGCGGTTCCTCGCGTGTGCAGCCGCCAAGGCGTTCTGTGGTATGTCTTCTGCCGTACGTCGTTCGGTGCATGTGTCTCCACACGCCCTGCGGTACATCTGCCTCCAGACACCACATTGCATGTTTATATCTGGACGCCATGTGGTAGATTTTTCTCCACGTCCTGGCAGGCTTGTCTCCAGAAGTCATGTGGTCTTTAGCTGCCTGGAGACGCCCAGGCTGAATCGCAAGACGTAGACGTGCTCAAGACGTACCAGGTCGAGACGTCGCGTATTCGTTTCGTTCGCGGTCAGTTTTTGGCCTCCGTGTCGAGCTCCGTGTTGGCATCGCGCTGGTGCTCTGCCTGGCCGACGCAGAGGTCCGGGGTGCCCACAGAGACCTCGGGAGGTCCAGGAGTTCTGCTGGAGCCTCTGGGCGCCCGAGTGAATGCTGCACCTGGCGGCGCTTCGGCGGAGCCCTCGAGTCCACCAGTGACCATCCAGGAGGTCACTGGTGGTGGAATGCCGTAGGGGCTATAACGCACTGAGGTCCCAGGGAGGTGTCACGTAGGCCCAGGGTGGTGTTCTAGGGGCCCGGGGAGGTGCCGTGTGGGCCACGGGAGGTGGTTGTGTGTGTGTGTGTCTGTCTGAGAGGTGTCCGATGGGCCCGGAGGGAAGGAAAGATCAGGGAAAGGACGAGGAGGAAGACGAGGAGGGGGGCGTGAAGGAGGAGGATGGGAAGGAGAGAGAAGGAGAAGTGGGAGGAGTAGGAGGAGGAGGAGGAGGAGGAGGAGGAGGACCAGCCAGGAGGCAGAGGAGGCGGAGGAGGATCAGGAGACTGAGCCGGTGGCGGTGCCGCATGTCGCGACGGATGCGACCTTGTGCAGGGGCCGACAAAATCGGGGAGGCAGCGTATACGAACAGGAAGCAGCGATCAAGTTCCCAACGGGAAGGCCACAGGCGGTTTCGCTCACTTCCCCCGCCCGCCAACCGTGTACATAGTACAGTCGGGGCGCTGAAGAAGGAACCCTTCTCGTTGGGGAGGGGCTCGGTGTTCCTTGATTGTTTCACAGTTTGCCTTCGGCTTTTTTAGGCTTTCGAAGGTAGATCGAAGTTGAACTTGTGGGAAAAGGGGCCTCGTTCCGTATTTAGGGTTCCTTAGGTCAACGCCCCGACTGTAACACCCGAGACTCTGCAAGCGCAGACGTCGCCATCGGATGGACAGCCATCGGTAGCCGGTGCAGACGCAGGGTGCGCGACGATCGCGAGGTGCGCCGCGCGTGCCAGTGGCGCCAGGCTCCCGAGGTGCGCCGGGTTGTAATCGAGGCTCATGCCAAGAAACACCCTGCTTGCCTCCAGGTTGCCGTGAGTGTTCTTGGGTTTCGATGATTTTGCGACGGGAAGCGTGGCGCTCCCACACCAACATTCCATGGACGTCATGGGGTCTTAAGGTTGGGTTTCTTGTGGAAGGTTTCTTGTGGTTGGGCCTCCACAGTAGAAAGGGGGCCCAAAGGTGCCAGGGGCGCGTCCAGCTGCGCCACGTGCGCGAAGCGCGCAGAGTCGCCAGGCGGTGGCAGGTGAGCCAGCGCACGCGATAGCACACAACGGGCAACGTGTCTTCATTCCATCCCTGTCACAGGCCAAGTGACAGGGGCAGCGGGGTGATCAGCATAGTGTGCGGCGTGTGCACCCGCAATCAGATAGCATCGGTTTTTAATGCGGGCGCACAGCAGACAAATATTCTCTCCCCCCGCCAACCCCGTCAAAAGCAAATGCGGAATCATCGTGGGGTGCCTGCTCAGACCCTTGTGTTGCCGCCACATGTATTCATGGTTGCTCTTTTGTAAGGGATGGCAGGGGAGGGCGGGGGCTCGTTGCTCCTAGTTGTCAGCTGGGCGAGTGTGAGAGGTGCAGTTAATCAGTGAGGGGCAACGATGACCCCGTGCCCGAGGGTTGGGGGAAAGTGAGGGTTGAAATGCGGATCTCTCTAAACCGCCTGCGCCAAGAGGACTCGCGGGATTAGCCACCGCGAATGTTCTGAGATCGTATGTCTTCGTGCATGATCGAAACAGCCGCTTGCGTGTGCTCCGAGTGCAACGCTGCACATGTTGCGAAACTCCACCGATGGCCACAACATTTGGGCGAAGGCGGACGTTTCGATTGTGTCTCGCTGTCTTCGGATTGTTGTGCCTGACGCTTCGGGCGGAAAGCGCCGATTTCGCCAAGTGATTCCGCTCTCGCCGCTGCTGCGCGCCATCGACGTCGAGCATGTTCCCGCGCGTGCGCGCGTGCAGAAGCTGGCGCCTGCAATGGTAATCCAGGGCGTTCTTGGTTGTTCACTGGTGGGGCAGTCGTGCTCTTTTCTCTTCCCTCCTCGCGCTCGTTTCCTTTTCGCCTTCGTGCCTCAATTCGCCACCAGTGCACCCCACAGCTTGCTGACTGCGGGCTGTCTATCTTGAACCACTTGGCGCCTGCGGACGTAAAACTGTTGGGACAGTCTTACGTTGCACCCTCGGTGGACCTCGCCTGTCCCAACAATTGGTTCTTGTCTTGTGCCCGGCGCGGGCTTAATGCGGAATCGACGCGGATTTGGCGTACATTCGGCGCGGGTTCGACAGGGATTCGACGCGGATTCGACGAGCGCGACGTGGTTTCGACGCGGATTCGCCACGGACTCGACGCGGATGGGGTCGCGACCGGACAGACAAGGTCCCCCAAAGATGCAACACAGAGTCGTGGGCATCATCCTCGTACACCAGCCCCCAGTACAGATCCAGAGGACGCCTGGCATTTCCCCTTCATGTGGTGCTCGATGATTCCCTCATATGACTAGCATTGGAGTTTCGGACTGACGCTTCGACCTACGTGCTAATTAATGCTAATCGCTTGATAACACATGTGGATTCGCGGGAAGTCAGAGGGCCATCTCATTGGGGAACCGTCGCCATCATCTTCTCCGTGGTGGAGTTTCCATTGGTGAGGCCTCCTTGCTCGCTGATGTGCTCGTTCCTGGCGGGTAGTATCATCGCCGTGCTTGTCTTTCGCATGCGTATTCGTCATGGCATTATCGCCGTCGCGTCGATCTCCACCATCGCCGCAGGCATTCTGGCACAACCTGTCTGATCTGGCAGGAGACAGGCCGTTTAAAAGAAAGTCTGTTTATTTAATCGGTCTTGTTCTAACAATGGGCAGCGCGCTTTCTTTCTGTGGCAATCTGACCGCGGCGGGGATCCTGCTTATCAGCGACGTGCTGTCGTCCGCAGTGTCCGGGACAGCCCGCGGACTGGTCAACATCATTGACCGTTGTTGCGGCAGTGGCGAGAATACTGTTCGGAGGAAGCGGGCGTGGCACAAGCAGCGTTGCTCTACGGATCCTGTGTACGTGCCAATGAACCAGTCGGCGTTCGGTGAGCTCGATGTAGAAGCAACTTTGTCCAACAGTACTTTCCCAATAAAGCCTCACGAGCTTATCTGCAAAGCCAAGGAAGTTCTGGCTTCCGAGTTTGGCACGGCACCAGGTTGCGACGGGTCGTGCTTGGCCGAAGATTTCCAGTTCGTTGCTCCTATCATTGGCCCACTCTCGAAGGCAGAGTTCGTGAGAGCTTTCGGATCCTTCAAGCTGAAGGACGCGATCCCAGATCTGAAAGACAACTCCTGGTTCCAGGTCGATCCCCTCGAGCCCAATCGTGTCTGGATGATCTCGCGCGCCACGGGGACCCACACGGGCACCCTGAATTTCGGCTCGCCGCTGGCGGCGACCGGCAGATCAGTCCAGCTGCCCCCGCAGGCTCAGAGCATGCTCTTCGACGAGAAGGGCAAATGCTACACGCTGACAGTGGGCTACTGCATGGACAAGCGCATTGGGAATACCGATGGCCTCGGCGGAGTCTTCGGGATCCTCAAGGCCGTGGGCAAGCCGCTGCCTTTCCCCGAGGCCCAGCGGTTGTACACGCCATCGCTTCGCTTCGAGGCCTTCGAGCATGTGGCCAAGGCCATTGAGGATCTCGGCTTCGACCCAGCAAGCAGGTCGCGTCTCCAACAGGATGCTAGGTGCTAGAAGCAACAACAGCCGCATTCAGTTCGCAACAATTTTCTCGCCCAGGATTCAGTGCTACAGTACGGTGCACTTCCACCACAGATTCAGTTTTACCCAGTGCACCCGCAATCTGGCTGAGATTTTCAATGTTCGCGCGTTCTTGTTCAGATGCTGCGCGAACAGACCATGTCACTGCTTCAGCTATGCATTCGCGATCTCGACCTAGGCCAAAAAATGGAGGGGGGGGGAGCAGGGGGACGGGTCGGAGCCAACTCCAGTCTGGATGGTCCCAGAAATCCAGTCTGGCTCCCCCCCGCGGGGCCTCCCAGGGCACCGCCGCGCTCGCGCGAGATCTTCAGAGTCCTGGGAAGATCGTCCCAGAGGGCCCTCGGAGGACCCCGAGAGGTTCCAAGAGGCCCTCAAGACGCCGCCAGACAGGCCCCTGGAGACCCCGAAGATGCCCCAGATGGCTTATCTTGGGGCCCCCGTCGAACGAACGAAGTGCCATACGCCGGAGCGCGTGGGCAAAATAGACTGCCAGCCTAATCTCACCGCTTTGCGGGAGCGGCTTCAAGCAGTCTTTCTCTGATTGTGCAACGCGCGTGATTGGAAGAGTAAGGAGGAAGCGGAGGAAAAGGAGGAGAGCAGGGGAGGGGGACGAGACAGGAGGGCGGCACAACATACATGAATTCTTGGCTTGAAGGTGCCAGGGAGCACGGGCAAGCAATTAGAAAACCTTCTCGGGGTCTAGCACCAAACTCTTCGTGAAACGTTGCACGAAGACTTCCCATGCGTGGGGGGGGGTCGTACGTGCTCCATAATATCTCCGTCTGGGGCGAAGACACGTGACAGGCAGCTGTGCAGGCATGTTGCCCATGCATTCTTAGGTCGGCCTCTCCTCCGCTTGATCGACGCTGTGGCCGAGCGGATCGTACCATCTTGAAGCGTAAGTTGTCTCAGAAAATCTGGGTTGGAAGCTCTGCAAATTTTACCGAACCATGCTAACTGATGCTTCAATAACTGCACTGTGTACGGTTGCTGGCCTGCACTTTGAAACACATCTTTGTTTGATATGTGCGTGAGAAAAGCCTGAGGGATGTGCAACATCTTCCGTAAGCATCTGTCGTGAAAGCCGTCGAGTCTCTTGCGTTCTGTTTTGTTCAGCCACGCCGTATCCAGAGAATACATGGGTTTGGATGTCACCAGTGCGAGAAGTAATTCCAATTTCCAGCTCTTGTTCATAGCGGTATTTTTCCAAGCTCTCGCATATTTACAGAATTCGCCCCACGCGGCCCCAATTCGTTCATCCTGTTCGGTACTCAATTGCCCCGTGTTGTACAACGTGGCCCCCACATAAGTCAAACAGTGTTTCTCTGCTGTGAGTGGCCTGCCTGTGTACGCAAGTGCACGTCGCTTCGTATCTTCATCATTTGGAACTTGTCTCAGTGCAACTCCATCCCTACCTGGACCCCTGATACGGCAATGTTGTCCAGCAGTTCTTGAAGGCCATCTTGATCCCTCCCAATGAGCAGCGTGTCGACGGCGTACAGTAGGACTGGCAGACTCCCCAACGACATCTCAGTTTGCGCCTTGTCTCCCAGATTGCCAGCGGCAAATCGCATCACAACTGTCATCAGCATGACAAGCAGAAATGGTGATAATGGGCATCCTTGAGGTATTTCAGACACTTGTTTTCTCTCTGAGGATGTGCTTGCACCGTCTGCCACGCAAACCGCCGCGCACAATTGATTTTCCCAAGAAGCATGCGTGGAGGCACCAGCACGTTTATGGAATCAAATGAGTTTCCCAGTAAAGGGCACCAAACGTAGTTCCACCCTCTTTCCTGGCGTTCGCCAGGTCGGTATGACGTCGTACTGCATGGATGGCGTCTGTGGTACCCCGCCCTCTGCGAAAGCCGCACTGTGTTTGCAAAAACCGATATTCTGCACCTGCTTGTCGAAGTCGTTGTAATCGGAGGTTAGCCAATAGCTTGTATGCCCTGCACACAAGAGCTAATTGGCCGGCAAGTTTCGCATAAGTGTATCGGCTCTTTGTTTTTGCATATCGTGCTTAAGCGTGCGTGCCTCCATGCGTCCCGCACTTTTTGAGCATCCCAAGTTTCATTCAATGGTTATGTTTTTCATCTTAGTCCGCTTGGCGTTTGTGACAGCTTTCCAGCATTCAGCCAGTGTGTCGTCAGGCCTGGCCGCTTTTCTCCATCGGAGTTGTCTTACTGCGTTTCCAATTTCTGCCACTGTGAGAGCGGACTCCACAGCCTGGAGGCACGACCCTGTCGCTGCACTTTCCACCATGTTTGCTGGACGTACTCTCCACTGCACGCGCGCTGAATAATCTGCCATTGTATTAGCACGCTCCGTGATCTCCACGGATACCCCATTTGTATGTTGAAGCCTGCCCTGCTTGCGCTGCCGCGGGCGGCAGAATCTCCGTATGTTGTCCCAGCTGCCGGAGGCGATGTTCGAATCGCATGTCGTCTTGTCAATGTTGCACGGTCTTCGTACATCTTTGAGGAGTCGGTGCTCTTCCAGCCGATCGTCGTTGTTGCGGGCATTTCGCCTCTTGTAGTATCAGTTCCAGCGTGCGTTGCGATATCCAGGGTTGCTATGTTTTTTCTTGGCGCCGCGGAAGCGGCCCCGCGTTGCCACAAAGCATCCACATCCCCAGTGGCTGCCATGTCCGATACTTCGCCCAAAAATGTTTCGGCGTATCTCGACTGCACCTGCGGATCTCAGAAAACATCAGTTTCTGTCGGGGGCTTGCGCGGAAGTGTTGTCTCAGGACCCCTATCATTGATGTCGGAAGTTACCAAATAGTGATTTGTTGCAAGAGCTGCTTGGCGATATGTTTTGATAGACCGTATTTGATTTAAAGTGGCAGCATCACACAGGGCATAATCCAACATATTGTATTTTTCTTCCGTGATGTTCCCAATTGGTTCCGCTCCAGTTTCCATGTACGTGATGGTCTGTTCCAGCGGCCTGTCGAAAAAAGTATGTGCAAGGCGTAGCTCGAGGCCAACACAAAATTCAAGCAGCAGGTCTCTGCTTGGAACTTCGACTTGGTGTAATGCCCGCCTACCCCACGTGAACGGCCCGATAATTGCTGATTCCCCAGCGTCTGCATGTCCGATGCGTGCGTTCACGTCCCCCACGATGATCTTCCCAGCTGCCGCCGAACATGCCCGGAACTCAGCGTCAAGAACGCTCCAGAACGAGCGTCTTTCTGGCAGTGGTATCAAATTGTGGTGGGCGTACACACAGAAAAATCCGAACACGCGATGTCCCATCTTCAATTTTAGTTGACACATTCTGTCAGAAATTGTTTGTATGATCGTATGTGCGGCACGTGGCTCGGGGATATGACGCAACCAACTCCTACCCGCATCTGCATCCGCACCTGAGAGAATGATGCGGCATCCACTGCTCTCGTCTTCCTAACCCTCTGCTTTTGTGGCCCGTGTTTCCTGTAAGCATGAGATGTGAATCCCAGGTTCTTCCATGTAGCGTGTAACGTCCGCCATTCTCTGTTCGGTCAAGCCGGGAACGTTCCAAGTAGAGCAACGTAAACCGAGATGGCCTTCGCAGTGACGTCCCACGGAAGGTCCAGAAGGGTAGCTCGTATCTTCGCCCATTCTACCCTTGGAGGGTCCAGAAGAGTCGCTGGTATCTTTGCCCACTCTGCCCTTGCTGGAATACATCGATTTTGCTGGTTCTCTGGGATCAGCGGTCCCGGAAGGTGAGATAGCCTTTGCCCACCGCTTTGGAAGAGCCAGCCGCACTCCTCTCCAGTCTCTCCGTGGTCTTATTTTGTAGTTATTGAATTCGTGGATATGTTTGTAGCTCTTCCCAGGTCTCCCACGCCGTATCCAACCATTCCAAATTGAGTTTGCTATTTCCCACTGATGCGCTCAATATGGGTTTACCTTCAGTTTTAAGTACTTCTGCTCCCCCGTCGACCTTCAGGAATTTCTTCTCGAAGTTCCACTGCGTCAGAAGATAAAGGAGGCCCAGAAATAGCCATGCAACGGCCCTTTTTTTCGATGGGGGCGTCCATGTTACACCACGCGCGACGGTTCCCTCCCTTAGGTGTCTTCGTCTCGCATGCCGCTTGAAGGATCGGTCGAGTTTTTTCTGATGATTATTCGGACTTGACGTCTGCAAAAATCATACCTTTGAAATGCTCTTCCGCGGGACCATTCTTGTAACATTTCAGGGGCAAGACATGTAGGTTCTGTGAGTACTTCTGCTATCCAACGTTCGGCTTCGGGAATGGTGCCATGCGGTAGTCTTCCAATCACGAGAGCCGTCGTAGTGGATTATCTTGTTGTTGCAGATGCTCCGGTCGACCGTCGAATAGCAATTTCACGTTCCTTGTCCTGTAGTTCCCAACCATCCTGTGGTGTTGGGTCCTCGTTTTGAAGAGACGGTGCCCCGCGTCTCCTCTCCTCCTCTCCTCCTCCGCCTCCTCTCCCCTCCTATCATCCTCATCGTCATCATCATCGTCATCATCATCATTATCATCATCATTATCATCATCATTCCTCTCCTCTCCTCTCCTCTCCTCTTCTCTCCTCTCCTCTCCTCTCCTCCTCTCTCATCCTCCTCTCCTCTTCACCCACCCAGTACACCGTTTCGTGGCCCCATAGGGAGCTCCACCGAAGGCCCCAGTGCCCGCGCCCGCATGCGTCACCCACACCCAATTCGGCACACCCCTCACACGTTTCGTGGCTCCATAGGGAGCTCCACCGAAGGCCCCAGTGCCCGCGCCCGCATGCGTCACCCACACCCATTTCGGCACACCCCTCACACGTTTCGTGGCTCCATAGGGAGCTCCGCCGAAGGCCCCAGTGCCCGCGCCCGCATGCGTCACCCACACCCATTTCGGCACACCCCTCACACGCTTTCGCCTCCACCGGCATGCGTTTCGATAGGGAGCCCGCGCCCGCATGCGTCACGTTACACCCCTCACACGTTTCGTGGCTCCATAGGGAGCTCCACCGA